ACCCCCGGATTGGAAGTAATGGCGTTTTGAAAAATCAAAATATTGCTATTTTGATATCCCATGTTATGTCAACAGGGCAGCAGAAAATTACAAATTTTAAATATAAGAGATACTGACAGAATAAAAATACAATTAATGGAAGCGTGCCATAGAATAGGTCCTCAAAACCTACTTTAATTCAAAATTTGGAAACTGAAAAGCCAAGGTCAAAATTTAGGTCAAATTTATGGTTTTCGTTATTTTTGCGAATTGGACACTACACTTTAATGATATTCTTCTAAATTTGGTATACAGATAGCAAAAAGTTTGCTAATAGTGTTAGCCTTTTGCCGTCATAAAGTTTCTTGACCCACTTTTGAGATATGGTGTCTGAAAATTAGGTCAAGATAAAGAGTTTTCCAAATTAAACATGTGAGTTATGAAACAAAGGTAAAATATTTTCAGGAGTCCGAATCTGCAAATCAAATTTCAATCCAACTTTCGGTTCAGAAGTTATGGGAATGTGACTGACTTTCTCGGAAATTAGGTCAAATTTATATTTAGGTCAAAGGTCAATAACTAGGTCAAATCTTGAGTTTTCACTATTTAACCACTTTTTTAGCTCTTCAATATTTTGGATGCGAGTTTTTTCATCATGTTACTTGGAAAAAAAAATTTCTGTGAAAACTTTCGTTTTTGGATTACTCTTATCAATTTTCTTCTCCTTCTTCTCTTAAATTGCTGTACAGCCGGTAAATTATTATCAAGAATCGACCTTAGAGCCCAAGCTTGTGTAGCTTAAGAAACAGCCCTGCGTGCCATATGGAATCGAATGTTTAAGCGCTGTGAAGACCTGCCATAAATGTTTTCTGACCAAGCTCACTCTTGGAATTGATTGTCCCAGTAATGTTAAAGTTGCAAGTCGTGCAGCTGAGTCCCTTTTCATAAGCATTCTGTTGAGGGCTCTTGTGAAATCTGGTTCCAGAAGTGCGCTTTGTCAATCCGAACCTTCACTAATGACTCCCATAGCTTTTCTATCACAGGGAGAACGGTAATTTCTTTATAGTTATAAAGATCAAGCCTCGATTTCTGACCACCTTTGCGTTATTTCGCTATTAAACCTTGCGAAAAAGCAAGTGGTGGAGTCATTGTGAATGTTATCAGGTTGAAAAGCGTAGCTAGAATGCTTATTAGGGACTCACCTCCGTGAATGAGATGTTCATTTGAAATGCCGTCTTGGCTATACACTTTCGTTTCTTTAGCTCCTTATACCATACCTTGAAAATTATACTTATTCAGAGCTCAGTAAGGTCTTTTGTAATTAAGCTGTTAAGCTGACCAAAATTTACATCCAAAAATCAATTTGAAAAATCATTTTTTACCTTTCGAAGGTCACTGAAGGTCAAGTAAAGGTCCTAAAACTAATGTCAGATTTGAACTCCTGGCAATTTGTAGATGATTTTCAAAAAAAAATTTGGTCAAATTGAAGCAAATTGAAAAATAACTTATTTTTACTGTTTTTTTTAGCAGTTTTAATTTGTGCGGCCAATGTTGACGGACGGACGGAAGGACGGACCAACGGACGCCTGGTCCCATAGGCTCACTGTGTGAGCCAAAAACACAATGCCTTGAACACCTGTTCAAAAGACAATCGTTATAGAAAAATATTTCAAAACACAGTCATGCGTCCTGGTCAAGGCAGACTTTAGAAGGCATTACGACCATCTGCTGTCAAATTTGAAGTACCAAAACACTGTGGTTAGGAAGTTGTTTGGTTTTATTGCAATTGCATTTGTTTTTAACACCCTTGACTTCGTTTTCAAGTATTTTTCTATTAAGAATATCTTTTGAGCGAGTGTCAAAGGCATTATGTTTTTCAACAAACTAGCTACAGGAGCTATACATCTTTGATCTCTACTATCTTCCTGAAAAATGAACACAAGATATAGCGATTTCTTTGGGTTGCGTTTTTTGAACACCCTGTAGAAGGCCTTACTCAAACCTACTTACAAGGTTAGGCCTAACTAGGGAATGTACCTGGGCTGCTTGAATACTATTGCAATTGCATTTGTTTTTAACACCCTTGACTTCGTTTTCAAGTATTCTTCTATTAAGAATATCTTTTGAGCGAGTGACAAAGGCATTATGTTTTTCAACCAACTAGCTACAGGAGCTATACATCTTTGATCTCTACTATCTTCCTGAAAAATGAACACAAGATATAGCGATTTCTTTGGATTGCGTTTTTGAACACCTGTAGAAGGCCTTACTCAAACCTACTTACAAAGTTAGGCCTAACTAGGGAATGTACCTGGGTTGCTTGAATACTAGGTCAAGAACTAGGCCTGACCTTTTATATCCAAAGGATATGTATGTGTATATTTGTTTATTAAAGTCTCACATGTCTCCTGGACATCAAGCCGTTGTCGGCTTAGGAGAGACTATAAAATTTAGTACATTAAAAATTTATTTTTAAAATACTGTATAAAATAAATTCAGTTTATCCATATTAAAATATTAATGTTCTTCTGTGTTTCATTATATTAATCAATGTATTGGCTAATGTCCTATGTTCAGTTCATAATGAGAGCATATTGAACTAGGTTATTGCATTGATAAGTCACTGTATAGAATATTCATTTTGTTTATAAGTTCTTGCCTTTGTTGTTCATACATATTTGCAAGATAAAAGAATGTGTCTTTCATCTTCAATTGAGCCTGTTCCACATGAACAAAGTCTGTTCTCAATGGGAGTTGGTGGTCTACAGTATCTGCCAGTCTCTATATGGATTTTCAGTGTCCCTGATCTAAGCTGAGCTATGTGCCTCCTCTGGTTCCTACTCAGCTGGTTTTAACCCTCAGGTTCAACTGCATGTGTTTTGTGTAGCCTGTAGGTACGTAACTTGTTACCATTCATTGGAGCTTTGCTGTCATCCCAAAGATTATGCATCCATGTGGTGTGATCCGCCGAAATAAGCAGTTGCTTGAAGGCTTGAAGTTTTGTCTTTACATTAGATATATATGGTTCATTGAAGTATTCTGTTCCAGACGATTCAAAAAACAAGGTAGTCAGCATTTCCCATGACTTTGATCGTCCTAGAAAAGTACATGATGATGACCATATAAAGACTTTCCTATTGAGACGATCGTGGTCCATGTTAGTTAGCCTACAGAACAGACGTGCAATTTCCACACGCTGTTTAGTGTAAATTGAAGGCCATGCCATGTCTCCGGTGGTGGCTACGTTTGGTGCTACATTTCACAAGGCAGAGAAAATAACGACATGCTCTGTTCTGTATGGCATTTATGCATGAATACTGTTGTGTACCCCATATTCCAGTCCCATATAGGAGAATTGGCTGAACCATAGTTTCAAAAAGTCTTGTGTATACTTTATATGGAAATCCTCCAAAGGATTTAAATTTGGCAATCACCGCTCCAAGAGCTCGGCTGGCAGATTTTGAGAGTATTTTTACTGATTCATTATAGTCTAGGTGTTCATTAAAATACAGTCCAAGATATTTATAATCATGTGTGTAATCAAGTGTTATTTCACCACATATAAATTGTTTCTGGCATCAATTTACATTTTTGGGGCGGAAATGCATTATTTTGGTTTTGTCTTTATTAATCCGTACTCTCCACTTTTTGCACCATTCATTAAAAATATTGAGTAGTTGTTGTAGATTATCTGAGCTTGGGGCGATCAAAATAATATCATCTGCATATGCTAAGATACCTATGTTAGTCCCTCCAATGTCAATGCCATATCCAGTGGTATTGATTTCTGATATTGATATGTCTGAAATGTTGTCACCTTAAGTGTCTTTAGCCTTGCCCAAGTCGGTATTTTTTTTTACTTATCTCAGGTCCTGAATTATAGAAATCAAGATAAGTAAAAGAGACCGACTTGGGCAAGGCTAAAGTGTCTTATAATCTGAGACTAACATATTATAATGAAGAAACAGGAATGTGCTCTTTTACACCATTATAGACTAAATAAAACAATTATGTAAAATATATATGATATATTTTATGTGCTTTCAAATGTTGTCCTGTGTGGTTTTTCATTGTGATGTAAAATAATAAATTCAGTATTTTAGTGCCACTTTAGTGCAAACTGTATAGGAGCAATTGATCAAGATACTGATTTGCATTAGTTAATTACTTGAAGTGTTTTTCAATGGTGCCCCTTCTTCTTTCTCACTATGACATCAATTAAAAATTCACTATTCTTTTGTGACCCATAGTTGGTGAACAATTGATCTCAAAGAAACATAAAGAACATCAATATTCAATAGTTTGATATACATTTTTTGACTTTTTTGAAGGAAATCCGATGAGCGTTTTTTCTGAAATGGCGATGACAAGATTTTTCGAAAAACCTTCAAAATGGCCACCAGAAAACAAGATGGCCGCTCAAAAGTTAATCAGCTCTAGTACTTCATATCCTCTATCATGTGTGTTTTGAAGGAAATCCGATGAGCGGATTTTCTGAAATGGCGATGACAAGATTTTTCGAAAAATCTTCAAAATGGCTGCCAGAAAACAAGATGGCCGCCCAAAAGTTAATCAGCTCTAGTACTTGATATCCTCTATCATTTGTGTAAATTTGAAGGAAATCCAATGAGCGGTTTTCCTGAAATGGCGATGACAAGATTTTTCGAAAAACCTTCAAAATGGCCGCCAGAAAACAAGATGGCCACCCAAAAGTTAATCAGCTCTAGTACTTCATATACTCTATCATCTCTGCAAATTTGGAGAAAATCTGATGAGCAGTTTTCCTTAAACGGCGATGACAAAAAGCGGGACGATCACGATCACGACCACGATCACGATCACGACCACGACCAGTATCTATGGCGACTATATTCCACCGATGGTGTGATAAAAACTAAATATATATAATATTTATTTTGATTATTGATAGTAACAGACAAATGACAGAGATTTTTTCTTCAAAGGGCCATTTTAAACTTCATAATAGAATGACCTATATTTTGAAATATAAAGGTCAGAATGACCTAATTTTTGGATTTGGTTATCAAACAAAGCCCCTTCTTTGATATCCCGTACAATTTATTCTAAATATCTTGTGGGCTTTTATAGGGTCTCACTTGTCCTGTAGCATAGAGATAGCCAGCCTTTTGCCGTCAGAAGGTATTTTGACCCAATTATTGAGATATCTGTGTGGAGAATGATGGTTAACAAAAATGTTCAGATTGTCGTTTTGAATTGACCAAGTTTTTGAGCTTGACCTTAGGTATTCAAACTTTTAACTTGGTTTATCGCTTGCTTGTTTGGCTGTTTGATTTGTTGTTGGGTTTAGGTCATTGTTTGGTTAGGCTAGTAGGTTGTTTGTTCTTAAAATGTAACCACTCCTTGGTAACGTACAAATCAGATTCTGAAACTTCTAAGAGAATATCAAATATCACCAGCAAGAACAGAACAAATATTTAACATATAAAAATTCTATTGAGGAATAACAACAATTACTTATGATATCACTACAACCATAATTTCTTAATCTATTGATACATCGCAGCTTTACATTGCAGTCCAGCTTAAAAGCTGAAGGAAAAGGGAGTGTGAAACATATTTTTTTAGAATTTTGGTTAAAACATCAGGAATTAGTCAAATAAAGTTTTCATACATATTTTCAGTACATATATCATATGAATAAGTACAAAATAGATCAATAATAACAGACTGGGCTTTAAATGTTCTTATGTACTCTTTCTTTTGCTTAAAAACAGCAACATTTCAAACAATCCATAATGCAATTCATAATGCTTGACAGATCTTTAATTATGATTTGATATTTTGCATGAAATTTTCATTTGCTGTATGTCTATGTTCCCTTACACAAATAAAAGGTTAATGTCAATGATTACATAAACAAAGCATGTCAACACTGTCATTAAACGACAGGAAAATAACAATATTGATTGGTATGTATGTTGATACTATTTTACTTATACAATTATATTATATCATAATATCCATGATTATAACTATTGATAATTTATTAAATGTTTAATAGTTTCATATTTTATGAATTTATTTAATACTGTATTATAGTAGAATACTAAGACAAATATGAAGAATATAACAACTTTCATATAGTAATTATTCTCATGAAAATTAGTAAAAAAAAATCAACTTTAATTTTATTGAACATGCATCTATTTACATTTTTGAACTCTTAAGTATAGGCCTACATGGTCTATATACATGTAGAGAAGCATTTGAGTTAAAATGAGCTGTTTGTCAATAGTCATACACAAATTGTATTTTGGTGGGCACAGTTTCCCATAAAATACCAATGACTATAAAAAAATATACAATTGCTTCAAGGTCATAATGAATCATACAACCTATACTCTACAGCCTCTATGGTAACAATAGAAACTATATGGCCACCTCAGGGAATACGGCGAGTCATGGCAGGCATAGTTTTCTGTAAGTAGAGAAATGCCAATAATCACCATAGATTTCAATGTTGTTGTACAACATATCCCAATTGGGAAATACCAATTCTATGACAGGCATAGAAAATCTAAAGTTACCTAAAGGCTGCTGTATGACGTACAGTCACCTCTACAATGGCAATAGAAATTCTACACTCAGCTCAGAATCTAATCCCTAATTGAGTCAATCTCTATCAATGTAAAGTTACAAGGTGTAATTTTACAAATTAGCCTATAGGGAAACCATAGCAAATCTACAGTCGCCACAGAGTGTAAGGGAAGTCTATGATAGACACAGTTTCTCAAAATAGAGAAATACCAACGACCATAGAAAACTTACAGTTGTCTCGAGGTCACTGTACATCCTCAATGGTAACCATGGAATTAACAGTATATGGTCACCACAAGAAATATGGCAAGTCTATTACAGACATAATTCTCCCTAAGTAGAGAAATGCCAATAACCACCATAGATTTCAATGTTGTCAAACAACATTTCTCAATTGGGAATACCTATGCTATGATGAACATAGAAAATCTAAAGTTACCTAAAGGCTGCTGTATGACATACAGTTACCTTTACAATGGCAATAGAAATTCTACACTCAGCTCAGAATCTAATCCCTAATTGAGTCAATCTCTATCAATGTAAAGTTACAAGATGTAATTTTACAAATTAGCCTATAGGGAAACCATAGCAAATCTACAGTCGCCACAGAGTGTAAGGGAAGTCTATGGTAGACACAGTTTCTCAAAATTGAGAAATACCAACGACCGTAGAAAACTTACAGTCGTCCTGAGGTCACTGTACATCCTCAATGATAACCACTGAATTAACAGTATATGGTCACCATAAGAAATATGGCAAGTCTATTACAGACATAATTCTCCCTAAGTAGAGAAATGCCAATAACCACCATAGATTTCAATGTTGTCAAACAACATTTCTCAATTGGGAATACCTATGCTATGATGAACATAGAAAATCTAAAGTTACCTAAAGGCTGCTGTATGACGTACAGTCACCTCTACAATGGCAAAAGAAATTCTATATTCAATTCAGGATCTAGTCCCTAATTGAGTCAATCTCTGTCAGTGTAAATTTAGTGTGTAAATTTACAAGATCAGCAACCATAGAAAATATACAGTCGCAACAGAGTCTATGACAAGTCTATGATGGACAGTTTCCCAAAATAGAGAAATACCAATGACCCTATCTATGGTCATCTCAAGGTCACTGTACAGCATACAGTCTACACTGTACAATAACCATAGAAATTATATGGTCACCACGAGGAATGAAGCAAGTCTATGATATAGTTCTCCGTAGTAGAGAAATGCCAACAAACATAAATTTCAACGTTGTTGTATAATGGAGCATTTCAAAAGATCGATATCAGAAAATTAACTGTATTTGAAGAGTTAGGGGGAGGGAGGGGGGTCATAAGCATTAATCTGACATCGGCCTGGGAATTTTTCATCCAGTGCACTTTCGGTACTACTGAGCACTGAAAATAAAAAGATCACAACAAAGTAAAATTATACTAAAAATGATCTTTTTGAACCCTATTTATGGCAATCCTGAAGTAACAAATATGAAAGTTTTGTCAATGTATTCTGGTCTAGATAAAAAAACAACACTGAACCAAACAACAAAATCGTCAAAAAAAACAGCCGGCACAATCCATCTAAGCCAATGGGTATGTGTTGTATGCATCCAAATGCCTTTAACGTGTCCATTTAAATGACCCAACAGTTCTTTAATGCTATTGTACTGCAGGTGCATACCGATTTATATTATATTATTATACATTCACCTTCTTCCAAGGCAGTCTTTTAACTTTGTGTCACCTATGGATTCACTTATGTATTCATTTATAGTTTTAAACCTTAGTGTATCTTAGTGTTAGATTAATGTGACTTTCGAAATGATGCATATCAACATTTCTCAGACACAATTATAAGGGGGGAGGGAGGGGTTTGTTCAAATAGAGTTACTTTTCCGATATTGATCTTTAAAAATTGCTCCATAACATATCCATATTGAGATATACTTATGATATGACAAAAATAGAAAATCTACAGTAACCTCCAGTTTGCTGTATAACACGTGGTGACCTCTTCAATGGCACTAAAAATTCTACAATCACTTTAAGATCTAGTCTCAAATTGTCTACAATGGCACTAAAAATTCTACAATCAGTTAAAGATCTAGTCTCAAATTGTCTACAATGGCACTAAAAAATCTACAATCACCTTAAGATCTAGTCTCAAATTGTCTACAATGGCACTAAAAAATCTACAATCACCTAGTGTAAATTTACAATATGTATATGTACAATAGGTATATTTACAAAGTAGCCTCCTAGGCAATCCTTCAAAATATATAGTCACCTAAATAAAAAGTCTAGTACTTTCACTCTCATTGATAAAATCATTCATTGATATTCAGCATATGTTAAACTTGTTGATGATAAATGAACAAAAATGTCTATAATCAGTATTCAGAGCTGACAGAGGATGTAGATCCCAGTCTCCATAGTTTCAAAGTCAGTTCATAGAGGCCATACACTTGGCAGTTAGGATCAAACACCACTATGTTTTTCATGAATGCTTTGTATTCACGATTCATCTTTTGGAACTTCTTCCAACCATTGGATGTACCATTCTGAAATAAAATTTGATAACATTAAGATGCATCAATTTTTATCAAACATTTCAAAAGATAAAGATTTAAAATTGTACATAAAAATATGTTATTCTTTATTTAAAACATCTATTCTAATATTTTTACCATTTTCTCATTCAAATTTTAAAATTAACTTAGTATAATGTATTAGTGGTAATTTTGCCTAATCATTTAATTTGCCTATTGCTTTATTTTTGTCAGGTTCGGAGAATTAAATGTCGAAAATATTATCCTCATAATGTTATCCCATGGAAAGTTTCTTGTCATTAAGAAAAATTAGAATTAGAATAAAGGACCCATGGTCCTGTGCTCACACAGTTTGGAACCTTCAGAGGAATGTATATCCCGACTTTCTATTGAAAATTTCTTTTTGGCAAAGCTCCTTTGTCCCTAGGCATCAGCATATATAATTTGAACCAAATCCATCAACTAGTATGGAAGTTATCAACATTTATATTTTTACAAAAATGGGGCCATTTTGAATTGAGTGGCCATATTGAAAATTTCTTCTCAAGCAGATATTCTACACCCATAAGGCATAAGCCTATAAAATTTGAATCAAATCCATCATCTGGTATTTGAGTTGTCGCCCGGACAAACGAACAGACGAACGCACAGACAGAAAGCGGGCGGACAAATGCACGGCTTTCCTATATCCCCCTCAAACTTCGTTCGGTGGGATAATTAGTACTTAATTAGCACTCTGGCAAAAGCGCATTTATGAGCACTCATGCCAAGAGTGCTAATTTAGTACTTATTCATGACATATGTACTCATTTCAAAAAATGCACTTAGTCAGTGCTCATAGCAGGCTCGTAGCCAGAAGGGTCTGCTCAAACCCTGTGGGGGGGTCCACAGGGTTTGAGCGGACCCCCCCCTCCCCCGGCCAAAATCATGCAGTTTTTGACCATTTTGAACTAATATTTACTGAAATGAGCACTCAAGTAGCGCTGAAATCAGAAAAGAGAGCTTACCTTTCCTGGGGCAATGTTAGTCCTACTAGAGATATTTTGTCAGTGGGTTGGACTCTATCATGGTCTGATGGGTCTGCAAATGTAAGGGGCAGCATACCTTGTTTCTCAAGATTAGTTTCTGAAAACAAATCAATGATTTTCAGTTGCAACATACTCAGAATAGAAACCCATTCTACATTCTATGTATTGATTTCAATAGTAAATTCACATATTTGAGACAAGACCTATTTTAGCGATATTTAGATGTCAGGGAAATTATCACTTCTTACAAACTCTTTTTAATAAATGAGTATACTGTGTACCTTAAAGAAGTATTTCCCCATTCAACTGAAATATACCGTAATTGTGACTCTAACCCCCTAGGAGGAAAGTTAGAACTGGTCAAAGTTCGCAAAATACCCAAATTACCCAAATGCGAGTAGGTAGTTACCAGTTTCACCACCAGGTGGCTGATTCGGGTCAATTAACATGGCAGGTATATAAGAAAGTTACCTTAAACTTGAATATCAGCAATTTAAGTGGCTCAATTTTCATATAACCCTTATGTGTCTGATACTTATACTCATGAAAATATGTCCAGGAAAGCAAAATATTATCTGTCCACTAAAAGAAAAGATATTTCATTTTTTGTGATTTTATAGCATGGGGTCTATGGGGAATCTCCCCGAGCTAGAAGTCACATTTTCAAAGAAAATTAATTTTTCAAAGTTGATAAACACTTTTTAAAACCACATTTCTAGATGTAATTTTACATGTAGATTTCAAATATGATATTACTTTGACTGAATTTTTAATTTTTAATGAGGTAAATCAACATTATTTCTACTCGCATCTGGGTTATTGTCATTTTTTGACTTGAAACGAAAAACCCCTATGTTCTGCCCCCCCCCCCGCTAACCGTTGGTGTCATTCTCTATAGCCTAACTGTGTAAGGGTTAAGTTCACATGGCTTTAAGTTTTCAGGAATTTCAGGAAATTCCAGGGAAAAATTGACCAAAATCTGACCCCATTACAAATCTGGATTTATTTTTTGGGGCGAGTAGGTTGTCAACCAAGGGTCTCAAAATTAATGTCATATTTGTTAATTTTTTTCCTATGAAAATACTTTTTCCTCCAAATTTGAAAGTACAGGGTGTTCAGGAAATAAAGATATTTATTCATGGATTGCATTGAAAGTTTCAGAGATTATAGTTTTATAGTTTAACATATTGTTGGAGTTTCAGCTTCAAGCCATTTGATTGGTTGATTCTGTGGTTGTCATAGCAACGCGAGTAGCGCTAAGGCGGGGCAGGTGGAATAACTACAGTATATTTGCATGTTTTAAATGTTTTAAAAAGAGATTCTATTGTGTTTATGACTTAAAACGGATGCTTAAACGTAGTTATAACTAAAAGCCAGAAATTCTTTGCCAATTTATCAATTTATTCTACAAAATTTCCCCCATTCTAGACACAAACTCTTTGCCTCTTGAACCTTCTTCAAATACTTCACAGAATTCTTCTTGGCTCATTTCCTAAAGTCTGTTTAACAAATGTGAATGTATGGTATGAGTATTCTCAAATGCATGTCCTCTTAAGTCCTGTTTTGATTCAGCAAAGAAGTATATATCATTTGGCGCTTGGTTGGGTGAATAAGGTGGATGCTTGAGTTGCTCTAATCTCAGCTACTCAATTTTTTAGTGATTATGGCAGCAGTATGGGAGGGGGAATTGTCCAAGTGGAAGAGAAATTGCATCCCGAGTTGCTTTCTATGTAATGCCTGCATTAAGTCATGAAAATTCCACTGAATATCATTAAAAAGCATTTATTTGACTTTTATATCATAAAACAAAGAAATAGGAGAATTTTATCATGGAGATGCACCAAGAAAGCTTTAAATATGGAGTCAAAATCGGTTTGCCATGCTAAATGTTGCACAGAAACTACTGCAGTCATTCCATATGCCCCGCCTTAGCGCTACTTGCGTTGCTATGCCAACCACAGAAATGACAAATCAAATCGCTTGAAGCTGAAACTCCAAAATTAAGTTTAAATATGTTTAAACTATAATCCCTGCAAATTTTATTAAAAAGTTATGTCATTATTATCTTTATTTCCTGAACACCCTGTATATGTAATGGGTCTACATTACTCTCAAAAGCACTCAAATTTCGTTTTTCCCAAATTTTTTGGAAGGATAACCTACCGAAACCCATCACTTGCTTGGCCCTTGTTTTACACCATTCAATTTTCAGGAAATTTGAAATTTGTTGCTTTAGCCATGAGTTCAGTGTAGCATCGCCATTCAAGTCATGAGGAACTGACAAACTCAATACTATAAGCATCAGAAGCATAATACATTTTAGTGCTGTACAGCAATAGTGTACACTCACCTTGTATTATTGCAAAGCTCTTTACAATGATAGCTCTGCCTCCTAGATGACGTGGTTCTAGAGCTGCATGTTCCCTGCTGCTGCCCTCGCCATAGTTCTCATCTCCTTCTACAACCCATGAAAGTCCATTGGCCTGTATCAAAAGAGCAGCATGTTTGAAACTCTTAATTTCACATGTAATGTATGCATTGAAAATATGTTATTTACAATGTCCAAGACAACAAATGCATATGTATCAGGCTCCTAGTGACCTTTTGTTACTTTGAAACTGGAAAGGGGTTCACTCTAACCCCCTTGGCTACAGGCTTGTGGTACACCATCATACTCTCCAGTCAGATTATTACTACTTTTCAACTATCAATTTTACTACCTCCAACCAAAACCTGTGAAGTTCATTTGCCTGCAGAAAATACAAAAGGCATGAACATATCTTCTATATTTCAACAATTTAAATAGAAGACTATACTAACCCTATGAGTAAATTGTTTGATATGTTGTCAAGATGTCCTCTGTATTTCAACAAACACAGCATAGAAATACTGTATATCATTATGTTTGGATAACTGAAATACAAACAGATATTTTAGTGACATTCTGGTACATTACAAAGGCAACACGATTAAACATCACAGCTTCTAACAAATTATTTACTAAGAACTATTGGTAATGATTTGTAATACTGATCGGGATCTACTACACTGATGAGCTTACATTATCAGCCACTAGTCATGCCCCATTACCCTCATTTACAATACATTAATAACTGTAAACTAAGGAAACATGTACTGATCATTAAGTCACAGCACTTCTTGTGATTTGTCTTTGACCTATGACTACTGACCTATACCGGCGATTACTAGAGTGCTGCTAACTCGATAAAAGGCTGGCGCTGGCTAGAATTGTCTATGGTTCTAACCATGATAAAGATACCAGTTCTTCAACTCGACAATGGGAAGAACTGCTCTACCATAGTGACTAATATGTCATGATATGACATCTAAAGAGTCAATAAAAGATATACATATACTGATCATTAAGTAAATACCTTGATTAGAATACCCACAATTATCTTCCAGATCTTTGCCAGACCATTTCTCAAATGGTGTCAGTAGTTGTAGACGCTTACTTTCAGGGGATACATCCACTTGGAGACTAGAGCCCTCTGCTGGTGGTTCCTGGTATGTGTCCTGACCTGGAAGGTTGTCACCATATGGTGCGCCTAGCATAAACTTGGAACCTAAATAAATATGTTCATCACCATATGGTGTGTCTTCTAGCATAAACTTTGAACCTAGATAAATATTAGGTAGTAAGCTAGCACCCAAAAATGTATTAGTTTGTGAACAAATTGAAATTCTTATGTATTTTTATGTGATACTTCAGAAAATTTTTGTCTGACACGCCATATCCGGGGCGAACATTGTCAAATTGGGGTTTTCGACCCTAAAATGGAAAACTACAGGGGGTACTTTATCATCATTGAATAAATCATTCAGTTGGTCTTCAATCATCATGATAATTGTGCTGAGAATTGATGAGATCGTTTTGAGGTAAATATAGTCTAATTGATTTCACATCAACAACTGAATACTACAGTAGTATGTTTCAAGATTGTGGAAACCACAATTTTCGTTCAAAATATCCTTAATTTTGGCAAAACCTGAACATGTACATCATGTAGAATATGGATTTTTCACGAATTCGGATCAATAGATATCAGAACATTTTAGCACACTCAAAATAACCAGTACAGATCAAACATTTAAATTTTCCAAACTTTAATACTGATAGAAGTAAAGGTCCCAGCCTCGTTTTTGTTTTCAAAATCTTGTAGAATCTGTGATTTGGAGGATGCATTGAATGATACGTTTAGAAGCTTATATTTCTTTTAAAATATTCAAATTGATTTGAATAATCATCTTCAATTTCCTCCCGATAATCGATCCATTATAGATAAATTAATCGAAACAAGCATTCAGGTGTTTTAGGATACAAAAACAAAACAGAACAGATGTATGATAATTAGAGGTTATGTCACTATCGTTGCATATATGCCCGAGAGTTTCAGTGATAAACATGTATGGCCCGACCTTGGGAGGGACATTGATCACTGAGAACCGAGGGCATATGTGCAACTATAGTGACATAAACGATTTATAACATACCTATGATAATCTAGTCTGATCAGAGAGTACTGTTTTCTTATCTAATTGTCTAGCTATGGTTCGGAAATGATGATTTATCCCCATGTTTGTATCTTACGAGTCAATTTGACCTGGGCCTAATGTATGACGTAGTTCCAGCGCTTGACCAATCAGAAAGTTAGCAGGCGCGGGCTTTTCAAAAGTTATATTGACCCGCTGTCTTGTGAACACTCTACACTATACCTCATCATAGATATGTTATAATGATAATTATTGACATATGATAAACATACCATTATGGGCAGTGAGTTCATCTATGAGTGGGCTGGTGATGTCACAAATGTATGAGTGGCAAATTTGGCATCATTGCGACAAGTTAAGTTCCTGTTATATCACCCTTCTTGACATCACGTTTGTCAAGCACCATACCAACTGCCTCTCCAAGAACAACTGCCTACAATAAAGAAACAAACATATGGGCCATCATTGTAAATTCAAAGCCACATCTGATTCATAGTATTTCAGCTAATCTAAATCTAAATTCCTAAGTTTATCAACATGGAAAAAGATGATTATGACATATCACACAAACATAGCTGCAACAAATGACTTGTGTTTGCTTAAAAAGGTTAAGACGCTTGATCATTATGTTCAAGAGATGTTTGTTAAACTGATTCAATAATTTTGTAAAATGAGTTATTATTGTCCATACACGGTCTGCTCTGTCTTAAGAAACAAGCCATATGCATATGAACAGCTCAAAGTATTGCTTTGATTTTTCCAGACATACATGTACCTGTCCATCTCTTTCAATGATAGCTCTGATCTGTTCTGAGCCAGGTGTGATTGTGAATGCAGCCTTGGCCTTGACACCTTTATCCAAACACTGCTTGGCTATAGCTGCAGATCTGCTCATTTCTTCATAACTGCTGTTGGTACAACTTCCAATCAGACCTAAACATTAAAATCAATAGAGTTAGCATTACTGAATTCAAATTTTTATATGTACTCAAAAGATTGTATGAAATTTTCAAAATGAAATTACTTTATTATTTACAGGTTGAGCCAAAAAATGTAACCCTAACGAATCTTAATAACTCAGTCATCCAGTATGGGCATTGAGTCATATTTGGCACAACTGACCCTTGTTCAATGTACTTTCATTCTTATAAGTTTCATTTTTCTACTCAAAAGGTTATGATTTTATGGCCATTTTACAAAACATGCTCCAAATGCCAAAACATACCAAAACCACCCAATATGAATCGCCAAAATTTTACTTTTGGGGCTATTTCAAATATAATGTGTACATTAAAAACTCTTAGAAGCATCAGAGAGTTGACACAAGATATTAGAAGGGAAATGAGAGCCTTTACACAAGATATTTGTGAGCGTGTAGTCAGAAAACTTTACCCGATGTGTTAAATTTGATTCAAAACACAAGACTGTCATTTTGAGGATGTTTTTTAAAATGGCTATAAAATCATGACCACTTTGAGTCGACCCATGAAACTTAGTAAAATGAAAAACATTGAACAAGGGTAACTTTTGCCAAATATGATTTTAACCCCATACTGGATAAGGAAGTTATAAAGATTCGTTTGGGTTACATTTTTTGGCTCGCCCTGTACTTTGGTGGTTCTGTCAGATTTCAATGTTATTTCGCAATCTTATTGTTTCTTAAGACAGAATTAATTCAATATTCAGGAAGTTCATGTAAACTTCCTACATAGATACCATGTGGGGTAACTCTCAAAATATTTCTACACAAGCTGTAACATTGAAATGAAGTTACTACATACCAACTTTGATGTCCAAAGGCCAGTCATTCTTCTTGGTTCTGTCTCCAAGCTTCTGTATGGGATGTGGAAAGTCAGAAGTGAATGGACCATTGACATGGGGCTCAAACTGGAATACAGAAAATAGCAATTCGAAATTTGAATTGTTCCATTATTTATAATATGGCAACTGGCACAGATGCTTTATTTTTTCAACCATACTATTAAAAGTTATGAAATTAAAACTGATATTACAACACAAACAGATAATAATTAAATGAAAACACAGAATTAAACTCCGTGCCAAGAACTGATGGCCAAGAACTGATGAAAAGTCAGTCCACCCCAGTAGGGATTGAACCTACTATCCCAGATACATAAGTACCTACGACTACACAATACTTCAGGCTTTAGCATTTTATCCATGAATTAATCTATAACAGATGTGCACACTTTATTATGCTTAACTCACTCAGATTTATCTCAATAAGCTGATCATATTAACATCATTTATCTGCAGCAAGGAGATCTTGCCTCACATCATCAGCAGTCTCACCTATACCTGCAGCCAATACACATTCAATTTAACTAAAATTATTTTATGTCTATGTTAATATTACATCCTTCTCACAGGACAGATTGCTATAAAGTAATAATATAAAAAGGATTGGACAGAAGGGTTATGCCTATGGTAAGCCTCTCCAAGTGAATAGCAATGCTTTAAATGCCCCATATAAACTTATATCATAGTCTTATCATGAAAAAGTAATATTTGAATGATTAAACTATATGTCAAACTTTGCATGGTGCCTTTAACCATGTCTTACTCCAATGATTAGAGAACAATGGACATGATTAACTTTTGAAAGACTATTTTGAAACTAGACAACAGCAACGCCAAAGCATAGCAAATCGCATTGAACAGTCATGGCTGGCATACTAACAAACAAAGAATATAGCAAAAATAATGGCGACCTTCTACCAAAAGTGTCATTAGACAGTGTGCCATGCTTATAGTACTCACATACCAAATATGAACAAAATCGCTCATCTACTTTTCGAGTTATAGTAAAATATGTTAAAATGGCGGCCATTTTTCAAAATGGCCACCTTCTACCAAAAGTGGCATTAGACAGTGTGCCATGCTTATTGTATTCACATACCAAATATGAACAAAATTGCTCCACTACTTTTCCAGTTATAGTAAAATACGTTAAAATGGCAGCCATTTTTCAAAATGGCCACCTTCTACCAAAAGTGTCATTAGACAGTGTGCCATGCTTATAGTATTCACATACCAAATATGAACAAAATCACTCGACTACTTTTCGAGTTACAGCAAAAATCATAAAATAACGAGTAAAGGCCCCCTTTTTCAAGATGGCTGCCATGTGCTTCTTTAATATTTACATTTCTAGCTTTATTAATGTCCTTTATAACTTTTTACATATAAAACATATTGCTATTACAGTTTTACATATTGCACCTAAATAACTGTAAAATCGGCATTAAAATGGCCATCATTTTTAAATGAGCGGCCATTTTCAAATGAGCGGCCATTTTGAAAATCGGCTTTCGAGCAGAACTTTTAAAACCATAGGGTATATGTGTACAAAATATGAACAAAATCGGGTCAACTGTATTTGAGTTATTGCCTGGACGGACATATGTACTACGTACGTACGGATGGATGGACGGATGGACAGGCAGACGGATGGAGGTGTTCCCTATATCCCTCCGAACTTTGTTCGATGGGATAGTAAATGTATATTGACAGTATACATTATACATTTTTCACCATGTTTGGTCAGTCATCGGTGAGGGTATAACAAATACATGTATACCTGATCTGTTGGTGGCATCAAAATATGCTTTCATACAGTGGTTGTACGGAGACAAAGATGTTGCAGCACCTATTTCAGCTCCCATGTTCCATATTGTATCCATACCTAAACAGTAATAAACACATGTTTAAAGGTTGATTGCCTGGAAATATTTACACAATTGAACATGTTGAACAACTAATATACATACTTTTTGTGGCTTGGTTGAATGGCTATGAATCCCAAGTTCCGATGTGTCTCATCAAGAAGACAATAGAGTGACAGAGATTATGTCAAGCCGAGTTTATAATTTTTGTGCGAATTTTCTTCTTGGATCGAACAATTTCATTTTAATTTGATTAACTTATATTACGATAGGTGGCAAAAGGTCTCAAGGTAGGTCAAGTGACACAAAACAACAGATCATATGACTGCTCAGCTTCAATTTTGCTCTTGCAGTCGAAACTGAAACTTCTTTCATCGATATCTAGGTAATTTTTTCAGCCTCCAGTATTTTGACAAAAGTAAGTTCAGGTCGTAGCCATTCTTCGGGGCACATTTGAGGCACCAACGATTTTTTGAGTTTTTC